TGCCTCTTGCTCTGTAACCCTCTACCTCGAGTGGCTCTTTGGCCTTGTACAGGGTAAACATCATTGTTAAAAAAAGCAAAAACAAAGAGGAAAAGTACAGTTTATTTTACCCCTACCCAATCTTTCCTTTCATTTATTACTGGATCTGAATTAGATGTAGCTGATATATTTTTTTTTTTTCTTTTTGTGAAAATACTAATTCTACTCATGTAGATAATTCTTCAGTTCTGTTTTCGTTTTTACAAAAAGCATCTTTTATGTCACTTATCCCCCCCCCCCCCGGCTTCCCACCTAGTGTCCTTGGTTCCTGGCTTTTCGCTTTTTGAATACACAGCGTTTCTTAACACTGGCAAAAACTCATAAAAATTCGTCAGCCTTCACTTCAACTAGCTCTTGGCGTGAACACTAAATATAGCTTCTGACAAAGTTGACAGTTTTCAGAATGACTTGGGGATTGTGTTCGCGTTACTGAAAGGCTCCAGGTTTCATTGTATCTTCAAAAATCTTTGACTAATTGTTAATCTTCAATTATCTTCCCACATATTTTATTTGTACTTCTTGGATATTGTAGGTAAAAAAAAATATTCTCATCAGAAATATAAATAATAATTAATTTTGATTTAACTAAAAAGCTTCAGTCACCTGAAGAAGTCATTAGTACTTTTAATACTTGATGTCTTCTTTTGTATTGCTTTTGTTCATTTTGTGTCTTGCAAGCTGTTTATAGTAAATTCAGGCTTGAGTTGATTCTCTGAAAATGTCACTGTAACAATGTTAGTTTTGTCTTAAATTTTCGTCAGACGTAGACTGATGCTGGAGAACAATAAAAAAAAAAAAAAAGACCTTACCAAAGAACATTTCTGATAGAAGTAATAACTAAAATGGTTAACGCTTAAATTAGGAAGGAAACTTCTGTCAATACTAGAACAAACATTAACAACCAAAATGGTTAGTAACTTGGAGGGAAATTAATGATGATTATATCATTAGCTTTCCACAGAAACTTAAACAAAAGGTTTGGAAGGAAACATTAATCAGTACAAGAAAGGCCGATAACAGTTCATCTGAGAAACCTGTTTTAAGAGAAGGGTCTTATAAATTTCGACCTAACAATTTGTTCAATGAAACTGTATGGAAACGGTTAATCTCACTATTACTGTATCGTATCTTTTATTATCAGAGTGGATCTTCCCTACCAAGAAATTGAATAGTAACTGGTGGCTTAAATTGGTGACAAGTGACAGCAAGTCTCCTCAATACTCTAGGACTCTCCTCAGTATCGTACCTGTTTTCAATAACATAGTTGTCCAAATGATTCCAACTTGTCCCTTGTCAGTATTGCTAGCCATTTTTTTTTCCTTTCCTCTTCAGGACTGTTCCCAGTGCTCCATTAATAACTGGCAACTTCATGTTCCCCAACTTCCTCCTCTCTCTGGCAAGATAGCGATAATTTTTTTTTTTTTTTTTACTGTAGATTTTCAGCTGAAAAAAATCCATTACCTTTCATGTTTTCTTAATTACTATTGATATATCCAGGGTTCTGGCCAAAATTGGATCATCCATTACGATTATTATTTTAAAATTTAAAATTCAAAGTTCTTTAACATTGGTTCTTGGATGATCACCAAAGTTAAGCAACAACAAACCTGGTCAGTACCTAAATGGGTGACTGCTTGGCAATACCAGGTGCTGTAGGCTTGGATGTGCAGGTGGTGTCATGGATACTGGCTCAGAATTGGAAATTTGAGTTCCAATTCCAGTTTGGTTCTTTAAATTTATTTAGGTGCAAATACTCTTGGGGAAAAGTATGAATCCACAACTTCTCCCCCCAGTTATGGGTTAATTAGTAGGGTTTTTATTGGTAAATCATTATTATTTCAAGGTAATTCTTACAGTCTAGAAATATTTTCTGGCTTTAAATAACCTGCAAAACGTTGATAACCCATTAAAAAAACAATCGGATCGGTTTCTTTTCTTGATAGTTATATTACTACCCATGGATCCATAAATGATTCCTAGAAGCTTTGTGTTTGAGAGATAAAATCTAGGAAGGTTGTAAATTCTGTAGGTTTTACAGTGCCCTTTCTGAATGCATTGTATCTAATATTTTTCTCCCATAGCCAGAGAGTTTTGATTTGTTGTTTTTTTTTTTTTTTTCCTTTTTAAATATCTCCCTTGAACCTCTTCTGATAAATTTTTAAACACCACCCTAATTGTAATGTATGTAATTCTTCTTTTTAATTTGTGATCCACAAAAACGATAATGGCTGAAAAGGTTATCATTTTAATTCCGTTTTTGTCAGTCTTTTTTTCTTGATAATCCTCCGCATTTGTTCAGTCGGAGTAAATGTCTGTCGATTTAATTTCCGGCTTTTGCAGTTTCATTACATTTTGACATTGACTATATTTGTTATAAATAAGTGATATCTGGCCTTTACAAAAGAGGACCTATCAGCTAAGGACAGCAAGTACAAATTACGATCATATTCTACAAGAACTTTTAAAACAAAATACCTAAAGACAAGAGAACAATCTTTAAATTGCGTAACGGTCTTTACCGTTTATTTCAATTAACTGCGTGACTTCTCTGCTTACCTTAGTTGACAATAATCTAAGTGGCATATGACTAAAAAAAGACGTTATAGATCATTTAAAGCTAATTTGTTTAAATAATGCACTTGGCTATTGTTTGCATCACCTGGTAATAATTATAAGTAACATGGTACCCTAAAATAAGTAACCAAGTAATCGTTTTAAGTTCTCTGAATATTGGTGCCAATTTAAATTCATTGCTTTGGATATCCATTCTTCATCTCTGGAAATCCACATCTGCAGGATCGTGTAAACATTAATATTAATAACTAGGATATGCAAGATTTTTCTTTTTTTTTTTTTTTTCTTAAATTACCATTTTATAAAAGAAATTGAGGATTTCAGTGTTCGACTTTTAAACAAAATTTAAAATAGCCATTACAAGAGTTGTTTGTTTCGCATAACAAGAACTATAATCTGTGCTTAAATTCCATCTTTTACTAATATTTACCATCCTTTTACTTGTTATTCCTCTGTCACCTCTTTCTTCTTTTCCTACCTGGAAAAGACTATCTTCTATCACGGCTACTGCCCATATCTCTAGCGGAGACTTGCAGTGAAAACAGTACCTATATTATCATTACAGTAGCTTCTTTTTAGAATGGTAACTGACCACAGATGCTAAGCAGTGTCCGTCCATCATCCTCACCCCCCCCCCATATTTTTCTCTGTATTCATTTATTTATTTATTTGTTTCATTTCTTTCTCTCTTATCTTCTCTTTCTTCACCTACCCAGCCTTGCAGTTATCGATTGCTTGTTGCCGTCTTGGAGGGGTGGAGAAACCCATGTGCTGTGGTAAGCAGTATAAGAATGCATGTCCACTGGCGTGGGGCTAGGTGCTATAATGAATCTGTAGAGGAAGCAGGGGATGATGAAGCACAATGACGTTGTCCATCGTTAGTACAATGGCTTTGTTCTTGTTAAAAGACCGAGCAGATGAATATGAATTTGTAAAAAGCAATATTTTCATCTTTCTTTCTTTTTGTAATGTCCTGCCGTTAAGTTAAGACTTGAGAGAGATTTATGCTTTGGGACACACATACATTAATTGACGTGGGGTGCTGAAATGTTCTTGGCTAGGCCCACTTGCCACAATCAAACTAAATGGTTGAGCAGTCTTCTACTTATCTGTGTCACTTCAGAAGGAGTTGCAATGATGGTTCTCCACTATTTCCTTTCTATATCTTGTAGCACTAAACGATGTTTATCTCCTCACTCTCCTGTTTGTTCATTAACAAATAGGTTACTGTTTTTCTCAGCTCTTCTGCATTCAGCATGTCTTGTGAGTGTCAAATTCTCCATGCCCCCTTTACTCATTATGTTATTCAGAAAGTTCAAGTCTCTCTTTCTGATTCTAGATATATATTCTAAAAAAAAATTATTTATTTTTTTTTTTTTTTATTAAAAACAATTAGGATTTTTATGCCTTCTTGGTTAGGCTGGGGACTTTTCAGCATGTCCTTACTTTTAAATGAAGACTGAAAAAATAAATGTATAAATAATGGAAAAACTCTAAGAATATTATTCCAAGCACAAAACTTTTTTGATATAATCAATGAGTATTATCAAATCTGAAAAATCACAGGAGTAATAATACTGATGACTGATTAATTGGCAAATGCTGATATGAATACTCAACAATTGTTAGTGCAAGCTTAAAGTTTATATATATATATATATATATATATATATATATATATATATATATATGAACATTGACAGCACTCAGAGGTGACAGACTGTTTCATGGTTGCCTGATGATTGCATCTAGCATGAAACAGTCCGTTACCTCTGTGTGTCGACTTCAATATTCACTTTTTATTTACATACGCTCTCTGATATTGAGCACTTTATCCCATAAATATAGCACACTGTAAAAATATATTGCTTATATATATAAGTAGATGGATTTTTTATTTATTTATCTGGCAGATTTTTATTACTTAAACGTCATTTTTTTTTTAGTGGAAACTCATATTTGAGTAGATGTTCCATTTATTTATTAAATAGTATATTTATTTATTTTCCTCTACTGGCCTGAATATTCAAGAAATCTCATTAAAAAAATATATATACTCTCCAGAAGGACTCATTGTTAGATCTGATGCGCTTTAGGCTGACTTGACTATGCCATGTGTTGCCGATCAAGCAAAATTAAATAGTGCTGAATTGCAGTTGAGTTTGTTATATTCAGTTATACACATATATTCTTAATATGTATCCATCTCTTTGTCCCACGCAAGAATAGCAGGGCAGACTGGGCTTCCTAGCCATGGTTGGCAATCGGTCTAGAAGATGAACACTCTAAATTTAAAAATTGTATATAACCCTGCTGTAGCACATATTATGCAGCCAATTGGCAAGATCTTAGAGTTCACTATAATCTTGACTATAACTACGATTTCTTATGGCCACATCATGTTGAAACCCCAGTTCCCATATGATCATCAAAGTTAACCAACATTGAGCCTGGTCAGTACCTACATGGGTGACCGCTTCAGAATATCAGGTGCTGTAAGCTTGGATGTGTAGGTGGGGTAATGGGTAAAGGTTCAGAATTGTTAATTGGTGAGCCAAGTTCCAATTCCTGTTTGGTTTATGTTCTCTTGTATGCAAATACTGTTGTGAAAGGTATAAAGCCAAATCTTCTCTCCGGCCCCATTGAAAATTCTTACAATACAAAATTCTTATAATCTAAAAAATATTTTCTAGCTTTCAATAACCTGTAAAAAGGTTAAAAGCCATAGAAAACAAATTGATAAAATCAAACCAGTTCCTTCTATCAGGCCTTTTTTGTAGCGCTCAAAAGTGAATGTGTCGATGATCTTCATAATGTCTTTCATCTCCTACACACACACACACACACAAAACATGAATCCTATAAAGAGTTTGTCATTTCCTGGGCCTTTGCTGTTTTTTGTTTTTTTTTTTACAGAGATTAGAACAAAACCTCTGAAATTATCATAACTGCTTAAATGTTAGTGTAAGAAATGAAAGAGGTTATGACTAGCCCTCTTTCAGAGGGACTTTGAAAACTATATCTTGTAACCAGTAATACAAAGTTGACTAAATTTGGCATAATTCAAAGGAGAAATCAATTTAGACTGATACAAAAATGAATTTGTAATACATCATTATTTCATTGGCTTTTGAGATATATCAATTTAGTTGCACTCACATAACATATTCAGATGTTTTTCGATAATTCAGTCAGGACTCTAGAAACAAATGAAATCTCTTATGGGGTGATTTTTTTTTTTTTTTTTTTTTTTTTTTTTAAACTTTTCACCCCAAGCAAGGCAGGGGTGCCACTAGAACGCAAGGATTTACAGAAAGTAGGAGCAAGAGTAAAGAGACATGAAAGAGGAAAGGATGTTGAATAGAAGGACGTGGAATAGATCAAGGCATCTGGAGATGTCGATTGACATTGCATTTGAATAGTTGGAGATTATAGCTATCAGGGAATAAAGTAAGAGGAAGGGAGTTCCACAGACGGGAAGTGCGAGACATGAAGCTATTGGAGTAGAAGAGATGGCTACATTTAACTGTTTCGGCAGTGAAAGGGTGGGACTGAGATTCCGACCTAGTGGCACATTTAAATTCATGCAGTTTGGGGACTAACGAAAATAGCTCATCGGAGCAGTTACAGTGAAAGTATTTGTAGAAAAGACAAAGGGAGGCAACAGCATGTCTGTGCAAGAATCAGTGTAGGCGAGATCAGGGCCAACTGCATTGCATATTCATCTCTGGATTTTGTCGAGGACCCTAAGACGAATGGTTGGGGCTCCAGACCATATATGACAGCAATATTCCATGTAAGATATGGTTAAAACAAAATAAACAGTAAAGAAAAAGATAACCAGCCAAAATTTGCTTTTGATGTGAGTAAAAATTGATAAGATGAAAATTGTGCACTAAAATGACCGGCAGTTTGATAAAGTCTGACCAAATGAACATCTTGACTGTAGTTTGACCAACAAACTTTTTGGACCTCTTTGTTTTTTTGTTTATTTTTTTATTTTATTTTTCTTTGGTCAGTATTAAGATGTCTCTTCATTCTTTGAACATAATGTAAACTTTGAACTTGTTTATCTGATAAATGATTCCTTTTTATGGGGGAACTTTGCTGTTGTATTTATAATTCAAATATGGTTAGTTTTAAATTTATACTCATTCGTTCACATGGAAAAGAGAATAAATCTGATTTGAGGCATATGCATGAATATATATATATATATATATATATATATATATATATATATATATATATATATATATATATATATATATATATCTGGTGCAAGGTTTCATAGACCCCACCAAATCTATAAGTGGACCCCCCCCTCGACTACATCTCCATTTTCATAAGGTAATATTCATATAAAATACATATTTTATTGTAACCTGATTATATACAATAAGGGATCAATATGCAATATAGGTGAATAATTCAACTAGAAAAATTGAAAATAAATACAATGTATCTAAATACAAATTTAAAAACATGTCACTTAATAATTCCACTTTTATCCTATAAATACCTTAAATATATATATTCATTTCACCCCAAGCAAGGTGGGAATGCCACTAGTACACAGGGGGCTACAAAGAGTGAAAGTGGGAGAAAAGAGTGAGTATGGGGAGGATTGATAAAAGGATAAAAGATGAGAAATTTTCATAGAAAATATTCGTCCTTTTTTTTTTCTATGAAAATTTCTGGGACATTCAGGCCAGTAAATGTTATTTAATACTGTTTATTATAAACAGAGCATTTACTTAAATACTTGTATCTATAAAAAAGAACGTTAAACATAAAAATGTCTTAATAAATTGTCAGACTTTGTCCATTTCTTAATATATGACGTCATTTGTTTTACATTTGATACGCCAGAGCAGTTATGAATATACGAGATTCATGGAAGATTGAAGTTTATAAGCAGTAAATTCGACCTTGCCTACACGAACGCTCCTTTGTGGCGAGGCGGTTAAGGCACGTCGGCGTAAATAACGGTTCCATATAGGATGCAGGTTGAATCCTGTCAAAGGACAAATATTTTCTATGAAAATTTCTCGGACATTCAGGCCGGTAAATGTTATTTAATACTGTTTATTATAAACAGAGCATTTACTTAAATACTTGTATCTATAAAAAGAACGTTAAACATAAAAATGTCTTTAATAAATATATATATATATATATATATACAACATTTGTGTATATATATATATATGTATATTATATATATATAACATTGTGTGTGTATATATATATATATATATATATATATATATATATAATGCAATTTGTGAAATTCACTTGGAAGTTGAAAATGTTTTTATTCTTTATCAACATTTAGCTCTATATGAACATCCTCAAAACAAGTGGAAAAATAATTGCCATGCTTACTTAGAAATATTGTGATTAATTTGAAAAACATTTCAACTGTGAATAAAATTTTAAAATAAATTTGGATAAATGTGCCAAGGTTGCCATAGTAACAATTTTTATTTATTTATCTTAAACTGAAATTAATATCTACTGACCTAGCAATCAAAAGTCTTTAGGTAGATTTTCTTTAATAACACAGGAAGTGTACTCTTATTCTCTTTATAACCTGGGAAACTACCTTCAGACCAGGTTTGCTTTTATCATTATGCTACAGGAAGCCATTACAGTTAAACATGGTTCAATTATCTTAGTGAAAAAATGCACATCTCTTGAAGGGGTCATTTGAAATATATATTTGCCCACTTTATTTTCCTAACTGAAACATAAACTGTAATTAATGGTTACTTAATGTGGCATTAATTCTTATGACTATAAGTAGTAATTGTAGTGTGTACATATGTCCGCATAATTTTAAACAGTGAACTTAATATCAACCCCTTTATCATGATGGCTTCAAATGTGGTTTCTCTAGCAAAAAAGGTAATACAGGTTCAATTCCTGTTGAAAAAGATATTTTCTTCAGTAGGACTTCTATGCTGGTTTACATTAATTTCACCATTTAGAATAACAAAAATGTCATCTCAAACATATGCAGCCCTTAAAGATGTTTTAGTGATAAGAAATCTTCATTTATCTCAAATTATGTTTTTGTGTCGATTTATATTGAGTCCTTCCAGCCATCCTTTTGGCTGTTAGGTTTAAGTATATTTAGCTTCTGATGTTTAAATATTTATTTTATAAGATCCTGCTTCTTCATTCTTTGTATACATTTAGTTTAAAATTTGAGAATATATGATCAAGACATTTAGCTGCTTTTTTTTTTTCCTTTTTCAAAACTAATCCTAAATTCATATTGAGTCAATTAAAATCATTTTTTTCTGCAAAAACCATCTTCTGTCACTATGAGGAACTAATAGAACTAAATTTGCTATTATCTTTTCTCTCCTTATTATCTGCCCCTTTTTTATGATTGTATTTTTTTTTTTTTCCTTTAAAGGAAAAATACGATTTAATACTTTTTGTCATTTAACAATTAGAAGAAAATGAGACAATTATCATTGGAATCAAAAATAGTAAATTTTAAATGGTTCTTTTTGTAAGAACTGTAACTGTCTCTTTCATTTGAAAATGACTATTTCAATTGTTATTAATGTCAAAGGCTAATTTACTTGTTCCCAATTATTTTTCTATAAAGACGATGGGAATGCCACTGGTTGTGGGATTTGATATTGAAATTATCAAATTTTTCCTTTTTTATTTCTTTTTTTTTTTTTTTTTTTTTTTTTTTAAAAAACTTTCTTTAAAATTATTTTTTCCCCTTTTTAAATAAAAGGTGTATGAACTAAAATTATATTTTTTCATCATATTTTATTTTTAATTTTTTTATTTAATTTCTAATTTTTTTTATTTTATTTAAAAAAATTTATATTGTTTTTAATTTTAAATTTTTTTTTTTTTCTCTCAAAAGTACAATGGTGATTTTTCAAGAATTTTACCTTGCCCTTCCCAGAAATTGAATTTTTTTTTTTCCTATGGAACTGTTCTTAAATTCATTCTTTCCTTGTCATTGTTTGTATTATTTTTTTTCGTTTTGATTTCTTCAGATTCTTTAAGCATTCCCTAGAAATGAGCAAACTAGAATTTGCTTGGAAAAAAATTGAAATATTTTCATAAAAACTTCATTATTATTTTAAATCTTTGAGTAATTTGTGTCTCTATGGGCATGTGAGTGTGTTTTTTTTTTTCAGGTCTACACCTGAAAGAAAAAACACACACACACATATATATATATATATATATATATATATATATATATATATATGAGAGAGAGAGAGAGAGAGATAGATATGTTTTTTTTTTTTTTTTTTTATTATTAAAAAAGGTGATTTTTTTTTTTTTTTTTTCAAATAAGGTGTTGTCTTGGGTTCAAAATTGTTGATAAACTCTAAAGATCATGTTTATGTTTGTTCAAGTACTTTTAATAATCTCAGTTATTTTCAAGAACCAATGTAGTGTCAGTTTAGGTGACAGAATTCCTTTGTCTACATTCTGGTGAAAATTTGAAGTAGTCTGTGGTGATGCCATGTGTAATGGTTACTGAGAGCAAGATCCCAATACACGACACCTTATCCCAAAATACAATAAATTAAACTGACCTTGTCAATTCTTTTTAATCAAACTTGTTTCAATGAATACTTACTGTTTTAAATATACCTTATATATAGGCAGTGTTGACATAGGTATCAACACTGGATGGCAACAGGCATGTCCACACTGCTTCATATCAGCTCTCTTTGAGTACTTTTCTCCCATAAGTCTACCATACATACACACTTTGTGTGTGTATATATATATATATATATATATATATATATATATATATATATATATATGTGTGTGTGTATGGAGACACCAAGTGTTAAAACAAAATGGCTATTTTTTTAGTGATTTTATAAAATAAATTTTTGAATATATATATATATATATATATATATTTGCTTATCAACTTTAACAGGTTATTTAAAGCCAGAAAATATTTTTAGATTGTAAGAATTTGGGGGGGAGATAATGATTTACTGATACAAGTCCTACTAATTAAGCCATAGCTGAAAGGAGAAGAGGTAGATAAATTTGTGCATAAGTTAATATAATGAGCCCAACTTTGGAACTCTACTGTGCAATTTCCAATTCTGAACCATTATCCATTACAACACCTGTCCACCTAAGCTTACACCACCTGGTATTCCCGAGTGGTCACCCATCTAAGTACTGACCAGGCTTGATGTTGCTTAACTCTGGTGACCGCATGAAAATCAGAATATCAATGTGTTATGGTGTGTTATAATATATATGAATGGTACTTATTGAAAAGTGTGCTCTCGCTCTCTCTCTCTCTCTCTCTCTATATATATATATATATATATATATATATATATAATATAAAATGTGTGTGTGAGCACACACCAAGTAACTAATTGGCCCTGATTGAAATGATTTCCAATCTGCAACTTCGAACATATGATTTCTGTTTCTCTTTTTATTCCTTATACGTTAGGTCTGTATTTGAAATTAAAATACGTATTTTTTCTTCTTTTTTTTTTTTTCATGTTCCTATTAATTTTATTTATCCATTATTTTATTTAAAAATTTTTTTTTTTTTTTAACAACTTGTCTTTTATTCAACATCTGATATAAATGTTGTATTGATATGAATTGTGCAGGGGGCAGAGGTGATTCAACTGATAAGATTCTATCTCCAACTAAAGATATTTGATGATTTGTCTTTGAAATAGCTGTCAAATTTATTTTCTACAAAAACTATTTAAATTCCCTTGCCCTTTATGCTTAAAAATATCTGTTAATAAATTTAGTCATTAAAAGTCTATAAATTCCAAAATGTTAATTTGATGGATTTTTTAAACCTATTTTTAATTATTATTATTATTATTTATTCCTTTGCAGATCAGTAAAGATCCTGATGAAAAAAAGTGAAATAATCATGTTTTTTTAGCAGTTTATTTTTCTTTTTTTCTAATTAACATTTTGAATTTAGGGAAAAAAATGGTCAATTTTTGTTTGCAATGAAAAACTGAAAAAAATTCTTCTTTTGCTTAAATATGATTTTTCATTAAAAAAAAAAAAAAAATCACTTTTGCAACATAATTCTTGGTACTATCCGTCTCCTAAGTGCCAGTTCCTCAAAATCAAAAAACATACATTTTGCTTAGTATATGAATACCACTTTTAAAAATGTTGCTTCATGCCATTCAGGACATGTCTCTCCACAACTTCCTCTTCTTCATAATTCTAAGCAATATTTCACCTCTTACTATCCTTCTCAGTCAATATTCTGCCATCTATTTATACAAGTTTGTCAGCTAGGTTACTCGCTGTTTCCCTCATGCCTTCAATATGTTCTGTGAGTGTCAAATTCTCCAAACCCTTTTTCCTCATGTTTTCCAGAAATTTCAACTTTTTCAATAAGTGTCCTTTTTTGCTTCCATTCCCTTTAAAACTTTCTCATTGATTACTTGCTCGATCCATCGTATTCTCAGCATCCTTCTGTATAACAACATCTCTGTTGCCTCAAATCTTGTCTTCATCTATCACAAAATTGTCTAGCGTTCACTACTAAAAGATAGTTTTGTTTATTTGACATAAGAAAGGAACCACCTGCGTCTATTACCTGGTTTTTATTATTATTATTTTAATTTATTTTATTTATTTATTTATTTATTTTTTTAATTTTTTGTGACTTATTTAAGTCAATAAAATACTTTTTTTTTGTATATCCCTCCCATTCAAAAGATGACCTGAAATTTTTTGTTCTCTTTACGTTTTTGAACAAGAAATCACTTAACTTAAAATTACATTTAATAGGTGACATCAGGCGACTCGTATGTGTTGGAATAGTTAACAGCTTGGGACAAGAAATTGGTGACTCAAATTCTGGTCTAGATCCTTACATTTACTCTTGTGTAAATGCCATTGGGAAAGGTATAAATCCATATCTGCTCCCCACAGCTATGGGTTAAAGATCAGGACAGACTGAACATTTTAGCAATCAGTATATAAGAAGGATAATGCTGAATTTAAAACCATATGCTTAACTGCTCAGAATAGCTGTAGTATAAATAAGTTTGGCGGCTCTGGATGTTAAAGAAACCTAAAAAGTGGGGGCTGGAGCTGACAGGGTTGCTCAGAAATAAGCATCTGTCCTGAAGACGAGAAGTCAAACTGATTTGCAGCGTGCCCTTCAAGTTGAAAAAGCTTTCTTCTTCTTCTCCTTCTTTATTTTTTATTTTATTTTTTGTTTTTAAATAAAAAGTTCCTTGTAATAAAATTCATTTCTTTTTCACACACAATGAACTGCTGAAATTTAGCATTTCAAAATTATTAGTTTTATCGTAAAATTGGTAGGCCACGTTAAGTTATGGTCTCATCAGTTGTGTTCACTTGGCAAACAACTATTTGGATTTTTTACTTTGGATATCAAAATAAAATAAAACCATGCATTCCATTCATGTATGCTAATTTTATTTCCAAAGCATGTGTGTTCCTTAAATCTAAAGGAGTTAGATCTATTTATGAAGTTAAGACCCCTCCCCACCAAAAAAAAAACCCTAAAAAAACTTTGTTCTAATGTCACATTACTATTTACTTTTTTGTAACCACTCTTACCTGTCTGTTTTTTTTTTCATTGCCTGGATCTTTCCACTTCTTCCAAGAGTATGGCACTGCCCACTTTTGGAATCCAAGTTCTTAACTGACTACAAGTTCCACATTCAAGCTGAAATTTTTACTTGTTTATACTTTTCTGAAATAAGCGCAAGAGATTTTGCCTGTTAAGGGATTGTAAATCAAAAATTTAGTTCTTTTAAAATTATCCTGTTTTGTAATAATCTTAGATTTTTTGTTTATCACAAAACCTTTCTGATTATTATCTTTTCTAAAAGATTCCTATAATTAAAGGGTAAGAAATGAAATAAAAACAAAAGCAATTTCCATTCTGCAAGAAAATGTCTGGGGGTGAGAATTACCAAACTTTTTGATTTGTAGAATAAGTTATTTGCTCATATTAACAACTGCTGGCTGTCATTTTATTAAAGCAGGTTGTTTGGTGTAAGGATCGATAAAGGCAAAAAATAATCGAAAGAAAAAAAAAAAAGAAATTCCAGTTTTGTTCCTCTTCAGCATTTGTGTGGAACAAATTTAAAATTCCTCTGGGGATTTAAATTCTGGCATTTGCCTTTCTTTACACGTCATTAGGTAACCATTTAAATTGAATTTAATCTTTATTTAAAATTATTTTTTTAAATCTTTTATCTTAATGTCTTGTCTTTTTTTTTTTCAGCAGCATTGAGAGGTTAGGGGAAGAAAACATTTTATAGCTTATGAATTTTCAAATGAATAAATTTTTGGAATCCATTTGAACCTATTTCATCATAATTCTTGTGGCATTGTCATACAACATTTTGTTTTGCTGTTTTGCTTGAATAAAAATAGAGACTGAATCGTTTATACTGATCTGGTTGAATTCTTATCTAACTTAGGACTCTTCAAATTGAATGGTTTCAAGAACAGTAATTTTTTGTTGTCTAGTTTAAGCCAACACTGGAATAAATTCTGTGTGTACACACGCACACACATTTTGAATGTAATATTGTTCATTTTATATGGCAGTGAATGTGGGATAATCTTCTCACAGATGAAGGAATTTGAGGCAACATGAATGTGGTTCTACAGAAGGATGTTGAGCATATAATGGACTGAATATGTGAGTGATGACAAAATTTTATAGAAAATGGAAACAGAAAGTATGCTTATACATAGAATTGGAAAGAGACAATTGATATTTCTAGGACATAATGAGGAGAGAGGGCTTAGAAAATTTGACACTCACAGGACCGATTGAAAGCAAGAGAAACAAAGAATATAACCTACCTAATGAGCTTGTGGACAGAACAGGGATTAGGAGAGATAGCATAAAGACAAAATTTACTAAGAGCTATAAAGGAAAAGAAATTGTGGAGAGCCATGATTGTCCACGTCCTGAAGGATTTGTTTTGGTATTAATTTCTTAAGAATAGATGATAAACAGGGTGTTTATTAATCATAAGGAAGATATAAAATAAAATTTTTATGAGTGTTAAATTTAATAATTTTGAAAAACTAATATTTTTACTTTTGTTTATAAATTCTTTTTGAAATATAAAATCTTTAAATTTGCTTTGTATTGGCTAAGAAAAGTTTACTTTTTAGCTTTATTCTCTCTCTCTCTCTCTCTCACACACACACAATTAAACCAAGTTTTGTTAAATTCAGTTGACAAAGTATGACTTTAATTTTTTTTTTATTTATTTTATTTTCTCAATTTTTGAATTTTTTTTTTTTTTTGTAACCTGCTGATATGTGTGTTTAGTATTGTTGAAATTATTGCTGACATATTTTTGTCAAGATTTACAAACTCTACGTTTCGTTCAATTTCTCAAACCAACCAATGAAATTTGAATAAACTGATTTGTTTGGGAAAATACTTTGACAAAAACCCTACTTCACGGTTTTTAAACACCCTAGTAAAACCAATTGTACATTGTACCCCCTTATCTGTTTTCACTTCTCCCCAAAATTTGGTTTTGATCAGTCTATGTATGGCTATTTTAGATGGTGGGACAGACTAATGAATGTCACTGAATTTTATATATAGATTGATATTGTACATTAGGTTCAAAATATTGTCATACTGACAATATCCAGTTCTTGATAATGACTGAGATGTTGAAAAGTAACAAAAACAAAACAAAAATCTTTACCTTTGGGCAGTTTATCCATAATTGTGATTTTAATGTGCAATATTTTCTTCAAAAAGTAGAAAAATTCAAATTATATAATATTAAGTAATAATGATATAATGGAAATGTTATAATTTAATGTGTGCCAAATTGAAAAGAATTCTTGATAAAAATATGCTTAATAATTGTCTAGCATTATTGTATAAAAAAAATATTGAAATTTCACAATACATATCGAAGTCTGAGTTACCCTATGCTTTGATCTTCAGGACCTAAAAAAAGAATTATTTCATTGATTATTACAGTATATATATTTTATTTTTTTATTTTATTTTATAAATGCTTATAGGTTAACTAAAAATCAAATTTTGTTTTATACTTAGAACTGTCAATTGAGTGAGTTTGCTATACCACATGAAAACCCAGATATTTGATTTGTATAGCTTCCCTGTAAATATCTGTATTTTCTATACTTTCCTGGTAATTCTTCTGATGAATTTTCTTCTTTGGTACCTAGACTTGATGAATTTAA